CAGGAAGTAGAAGTGTATTGGAGGAAAAGACAGAGGTTTTGCCTTCTTAGAAAACTCGAAGTCGCTATATAGGAATGTGATGTTGGTCCTTAAAGAAGAGGATGCTATCAGAAGCAAGGGTAAGACATCTCTGACAGTGGGCAATTTTATTCACAGGGACAGGACAGCTCAGTGTTACATAGGAGAGATGTAACACTGATTACATCTGGGGAGTCTGATTGCTTGGGTTTAAATCCAACTTTTATGACCCGCTATGCAGTCTCAGTTATGTTAACCTCCCTAAGGACCAAGGTTCTTATCAGTGAAAGAGAAATCATTTGGAGACAGAACTTACGGACTGGGCATAGGAGTCAAGGAGACAACATAGCTAAGAAGAGTGACAAGTATAAGGACAATAGATTGTGAGCACTCATTCAGTGTTAGTTCCTTTCATTTGCATTCATTAATACATTTTCAATAATTTCCCAAGTCGCAAGCAAGATGCATGTATCAGGAGCAGAGTAAATAGAAGAAAGAAATCTGATTGGAAAGAAGAGAAATTGCAGATGAGAGATTTCTATTTACGAAGTAAAGCACTTATTGGTAGAACTATCCTACAACCTCCTTTAGAAACTAATGTCTCATCAGGTCAGGAGGACAAAAAGGTCAACCAGATAGGTCACTTCATAGATCGGCTGTGTGAAAAGTTTTGAATGAACATCACAGTTGACATGGCTCTCTCTTTTCCAAAGAAACAAAACACAAAGCAATATCCTTAGAGAGAACAAGCACACTCCAAGACAAGTTACAAGGCCTGTTAGCAATGCTGGGTGATGCCCACTAAACAGCAGTCCATTTACAGATACTCTCTAGTTACAGGCAACCAACTTTCGGGGAATTCATTTGATAATAAACAATATGCTTACAATAAAAATGTAGCAATTCTGCATTATGAACTGCCAACATGAAAGAATAAAATGTTTAGCTATTATGTTTTACAAAGGACAGAATTTGGAAGTGAAGGCCGGGGAGTTCTGACCTATATCTTGCACTAAATCTCCAGAAGTTCCACTGCTAAGCATTCAGTAAATTCTATTTAAATAGAAACTGACTTGGACATTCACCTCTTTTGAACTTGTTTGATTGGTTTACCCAATTCAAATCAAGACATCCTGGAATTAAATTTCCACATGAATAAGATTCAGAAAAGACATCCAAGTTGACACTGAATGATCAAAACTTTTTAAGGGTAATTTTTTCTAATATTGAAGTTCATGATTCACCTGACAGCTGGAATGATAACGGAAATTAATAAATGGAAGGTTTGTGGTATGAATAATATTATCATACAACTGAGAAATAAAATTGACTAGTAATTTATGTAAAACTCCTACTTTATCTACTTAAAAGCAGAAACATTTTTATTACTTTTCTAAATAAGGTGGGTTTAAAAGTGCCTACCTCAATATTTCAATAAAGAAAGTACTCAATAAATGTCAAATTTAAATTTTAGTGGAATGCAAATGAGTTCTTAACGGTGTCTAATAGGGTTTTCAGATTTTTTATTTCACAGTACTTGTTTGTGGCAATTAATCCTATCGAAGACAACATTTATATAGTGTTTTTTCCTCTTTCACAGGCCCCATTCCCAGCAAAAGCAAGCAAGCAATACACCACTGGTAAGAAAAATTAAGCATTATATTATTGGTGTCTGCCTAGGAATAAATTAAACAGGTCGAGGTAAAAGAGCACAGGATCACAAGAATAAGTAGCTCATAATTTCCTTATTAATTTTAACTATTCTATATGTTAAATTGTGGACATGTAAGAAAAACACTTTATCAATGACACATTCTTAACATATTTTCAAATGATGATTTGACTTCATTTCCCAACCTCAGACTTAATCAACCCAAAGACTGTTCTCACTTATAATTTTCATATTATTACATTTTCAATGTATTACTAGTGCTTAATATAAACAAATACAAGGTTGTTGGGGCCCGATTAGGGAAAGAAAATGGAATAAATTTCCACATATATCATAAAGATAGAAAATTCATGAAGAACTTCACTTTGATGAAACCTGATACATTGACAGTAGTAACATCATGAGATGTTTGGTCAAGAGACCAAAAAGTTAACATACTGGAAACTTGACAAGCAGGTGAGCCAACTGGAGGAAAATTAATCACACGGTTAGAGAAATCATTGGATGGTTAGCATCTTGTTGCTAAGCAATGTTTCTAGGAAGCAGATCTCACATTTTAAAGGACCAGAACATTTTCTTTTTTAGATACAACCTATTTTTTTCAAATTGATGATGTGTATTTATGTTTGTCAACTTTTGGGTCTCTCAACTTTCTATATACCTATGAAATTTATGGACTATGTAATTTATTTTTTTTAAAGTTATTGATTGGATGCCAATATGTATGATAGCCCTCACTAAAATAAAAGTTTTACACTCACCATGTAGCAAATGATAGAGTTTGCATATGGTCAGATAATAAAACCAATCAGAGAGGGAAAGATGCCTTCAGTGATGTGCCTATTGCAGCTGAATAATGAAATAAAAATATATTTGAGGTTGATTAAAATATTAAATTTAGGTATGAAAATATCTTTACTCTAAAAATACTTAACTAGGACTTGGTACTAAATAAATATCTATGATAGCTAGCAAAAAAGACAAATGTAGGAAAATTCTGACATATCAAACTTAGAATTATATCACACAAGTATAAAAACTTTTGGGATCTGCTATTCAAATTAGGTTGTCATTAAAGTATCTTTATTTGAACTTAAAATAATAGCAATTAATATCAAACAGTTAAAGGAAAAGAAAACTGAGCTAGATGAAGGGCACTGTTATTTATCAATTTTGTTCTCTTCACATTACTCTCAACACTTCATGTTACAGAACCCACACAACTTTCCCCTCACTCCCAGGGTGATTCTGGTCACTGGTGTTGCCTCCAGCACATGCTCAGTGAGGAAAAGGGAAGCTGATGAATAGGAAGTGCTTCCCAAAGACAGTTTTCAGTCTCTAAAAAGAGTGCTATGTATTTAGACAAAGTATGACAAAAAATATTCCCAGTCCTTCTATTTTCTTTTTCTTCTTTTGTCTCTTCATCACTTCCCCCCAAAAGCATTAATACTATGTTGATTTTCTCCCCCTATATTAAAATGTTTGTTACCAGACTTCCTGGTTTAAAACAAAAAAAATTTTTTTTAAAAAATTTTCCCTGCCAATATTTTGATTGAAATCCTACACTCTTCCTTTTCCCATCTAGGATCAGTAAAGCATGCCAAGTCTCTAGTGAAGAAAGGTTGGGGATAGGGATGAGGCCGAGTTACTTTGCTGTGAAGGGTGGAGGGAGAAGGAGGCAGGAGGGAACACAGCGTCACTGCACCGCGGAGTTGCAGATCAGATCATGGGAAGTAATATTACTTCATATGATAGTACTTCACCTTTTAAAAAATTAACCCACTATTTCTCTACTCAAAGAGAAGAATTAGGCTGCCATCTTGTCAACTCTATAATTTTTCTGAATTGGAAATGAATTTAGAAAGTTTTATTTTAGTCTTCTAAATACAAGTCATTTCAGGAGCATATTTGGCCTATTACGTTACTTGTGTCTTTTCTTTCACAGAACTAACATTTTTATTTTATTCAAAATATGGCCAATTTACTAAAACCAAACAGAATCACCCCTGAATCATGGCTTACTTAAATTTTGTATGATGAAATTAATACAACATTGACTAAATTTCTTTTGTTATTAATTTTTTACATATATAAGTTCTTGACAGCTTAAGTATTTGAAGATATTTTCAATAGCTTGATTCAATCATGCATACCATTTCATCTTCCTGGCCATTTATAGATACCTTTAACATGATTAGTGAATTTGGTGTACAGATTAATTCATAAGATAGACAGACAAGCACACTCACAAACACGTAAGGGATCCAATAAACAGGCAACGGAAAAATCCTATTGAGCTAGGCAAAAGTGTTATTTCTTCCTTGTTGAAGGTATCAGCATATGCTACATCTTATGTTGCACAAGTGTACTCATTAAATATTATGAAATGTACAGCAGGCCAGGAAGCTCTAACTAGCTAGTCAAAGTCACTCATACCTGTGTGTTCGTATTTGTGTCGCAGAAGGGAACTGCTTTTCTGGAATGTCTTGTCACATAAGTCACATGCATACATGCCACTCTCTGTCTTCTTGATCTTCTTTCGAGACAGACAGGAGTCGGAGTCTGTCATGTCATCTAGGCCTGACATGTAGTCCTGTGCTCCATCAAGCAATTCTCCCTGTGATGTAATCACACAGTTCAACACAGTCTCTTCTCTTTGTATTGATACCAAACAACTTCGCATAGGCTGACATTTGGAGAACCTCATAATGCTTGCTATTAATTGATCTAGTTTTTGTTTTTTGTTTTTTTTTAAAAAAACATATTAACTTACACAAACAATATATGAGGTGTAACCTGTCAACAAAAACATAAACTTTCTCTATCCTACATGATAGAGCTCATAGTTTTTCAAGGATAGAAAATAGCTAATTCTGCAAATGAGAAAAACATACCATTTTCTAAAATCTTTAATTTTCTATATATTAGGAAATACACATGAGTGAAAATTCAACATCAGAATTTGTGCATTTTCCAGTGTGCTTGACTTCAGAAATGATATGTAGCTGCAGAAACCCCATTTTAATTGAATTTTATATTTAGGTACAAAATGTTATTATTATGCAATCTATTTAAATGTATGTCTACCAACTAATGGCCTCAAGCTATATTTTTATATTTAATTTTCTAATTTGAAATAGGGAATATTAATAACACTTTTTATCAATGTTCTATCTATGTTAAAACAGCCTTCAGCATTGAACAATAATGAATGTGGATCAGTAAATTATTAAATTTCTTGATATTTATTTTGTCTTGATCCAACGAGTGCAAACTTGCATGATAACATACATTTCCATTTGCTAGTCCACAGTTCAGTTTTCTTAGACTACATTTGCACTAATTAATATTAGAGAAGATTAAATAGGCTTAAATACATTTACAAAGAGGGCAGATGTACTGTCAAATGGAATACGGGGACAGCTGTAACGGAGGTGCATGCTACTTATGCTCCTATTTTGCAAGCAGGGATTATACTCCAATATGTTACAACATACCTGCTTTTGTATTTGAAAAACCACAAATTATTTGCTAATTTGAAATTACAGAAAAAGTCATGTGGAATGTGCAAAATAATTTTAAAAATACTTTTCAAAATAAGCTATTCTCTATAAAAACCAAGTGCACATCAAAATTATACATGCAATTTGTGAACATCTGTGACTTATAAACATTAACTTTCAGCATCTATGGACATAATACCAAATATTGTTATCAGAGTATAACTCCAAAAGTAGGTGAGTCAATCTAAACAGGCTTCAAAAATAAATGTTAAATACTTTCTATTTTTCAGGCAAATATGTTTCAAGAGTACAGTGTTCTACTCTTTCTTCTTTTAATTTCCTAGTCTAGGTTCAAAGTAAAACAAACTCTTCTATTTCTGCTGAAACCATAACACTTGGTTTTTTTCACGATCATTTTTCTCCTGTATGCACATCAACGATATTATTTTCATCTCTTTCACAGCAAAAAGATATGACTCATTACCTGAAATCCTTGTTTCCGTTGGTATTTTCTCCTTTGCTGCATCTCAGCAAAAGTAGCTGCTCCAGTTGGGTAGGTATAGGCCATATGTGGTAGGAAGCTCATCTGATCCAGTCCTGGGTATGGTCGTAGCCCAGGGATACTGGTCTGGACTGGTGGCATGAAAGTGGCAGGGGGAAATGCGCTTTGTGGAGGAAGAGCTGTATATAAAGGTTTGGCACTAAATGGATTCATGCCGAACACTGGGTTAGTGCTTTTGCTGTCCAGATTATTTGAACTTGAAAACTCCTTCTTGATAAAAGTCAAGTTTAGAGGCTCATCTGAGGTTTCAGATGATGAAGAAACACTGTTGTGGTCTAAGTTTATGCTGCTAGCTTTTGTTTTGCTCTTTGTGGCTATAATACTTTTGGGTTCTTTCATTTGTTTTGGTAATGACAGGTCCAAAGGCTCAGCCTGGAGCTCCTCAGAAGAGAAGCTGTTTGGAGTGTAAGAACTACTGTGGGAGTTTTTAGAAGATGTGGAGGAAAGGTTTAAGGGAGAAGGAGTGTTACTCCTGGAGTGGTCCAATTTTTCAACTGGTTTAATATTGGTAAAATGGGAAGGTTTTGTTAGCCTGAGAGGAGGATCGCAATTCGTAACGCTGTTGTGGAGTTCTGCTATCGATGGCGATGTTATGGAGTCCAGAGGTTTTACGGGGGACCTGGGTAATAAAGAGTCTTTCGTGGGAGGGTTATTGTTGGGAGCTAACGGCTTGGAGTTCCTCTCCAGTGATGGTGACCTGGAATTTGAATACTGGTAGACTTTTCGTTGCTCAAACCATTCCTTCACAAATTCCTGAGGAAGGCCCACAGCAATGGAAATTTTCAGCAGTTCATCAGAGTTGGGCTCCATGTTCATAGCATAATATGCCTTAAGTACAGACATGTGGTCCTTGTATGGGTTGATGGGGCTTGTCATTCCTTTCTCAGAAAGTACAGATGACAAGAGGAGGGCTTTATTATCAACAAAAACTCCAGCTTTGTTGGGGACTATATTTTCATGAGGTTGCAGGACTGCCTTGATCTCCTCATTCATTTTACAAAGGTAACGTTCATGCTGATGCAAGGGAATGGGGCCAGGAAAACTTTCTTTACAGAACTGGCATGAGAACGGAGTGGCTATGCTGTGGTTCTCAATCATTTTGTCATCAGTGACCAAATCTATTAGCGTACGTAGCTTCTCTTTCTTTATATTATTGATTTGTCTCCTTGAGTCAGTAGTCAAGCTCTGGAGGCAAGCTTTGGCTTCGTTGACTTTCTCTAATGTGTAGTCAATAATACTTTTAGTGGCACCGTTATGACTCACTACTGGAAGACCTACGGGCGGAATATTAGGAGAGGTAACTCCTTGTTCCTCAGGTTGGGAGCATGGATCCTTCATGTGATAACCTTTCAACTTGGAAATTTCTTCAGCCTTGCAGTCCATTTTTTGCCTGGAAACCGTATTGTCCACAATCTGTAGAACCTTTTGTACCTCGCTTAAATTACTATTCATTGTGGGAAATCCGAGTAAAGGGGCTTCCATCCCTACGCCTAAGTGCTGCATTGGACTCTGAGCAGACGGATGAACTCCTAAAGGGCTGGTGGCTCCAAGTGCACCATTCATAAAGGGACTAGTGCCGCTGAACCCGTGTGTGGCCATAAGAACTTTATAGTCATTGAAGTCTAGTGGTTCTGTTTTAATTTTAAGTAAGCCTGTTTGTTCAGACATACTGAGTGGTTTTCCATTCTCCAATTTGTTTCTCAACTGGGTAATGGCAGAATTAGTAGGAGAAGAAGAAACAGAATTAGGGGAAGAACCCGTCTTGATATTATTTCTCATTCGGCCATTTACAGAGATTAAACCAATACACTTCTTGCTGCTGATGTGTGAACTGTAGGAACCGGAATGGGAGAAACGTTTCTTGCAGTTTGGGCACTCGTATGGTTTTTCACCTGGAATGACAATTAGAGTTAACATTATATTTCTTTAAGTAATGACTACAATTGTCTACCAAAACAAGAATATGTAAAACCAAAGGAAAGGAACACAATGGGGGATCTCTACATTCTCGGTACTTAGATTAAAATTATATGGCCATAACTGTTTCTGGGCTTTCTCTACCCTAGGAGGGCATGATTCAAGATGTTAGCAATGGAAGGTGAGGGCTATCCTTTTTTCAGCCAAGATCCCAAATCTTGCCTTTGCCATCGGCAGCCTCCTTTTAAACATAGTTTCAGATTAATGTGTGGTCAATAGCACAATAAAGATGTCACGGTATTAAAGGGAAGGATAGCCACGGCTTTAATCAATTCTTCAGAGATTCCATTGATTTTTTACCAATCCAACTAGTCCTCTAAGTGGCATCCAATGTGGCAATAAAATGCTTGGCAGAACTATCAAAACAGTTATACAGGAGAAATCTCGGCGGGAGGTTGTTGTTTTGTAACATACCACTCTCAGGAATCAAGGAGTATGTATGGTACAAAAGCTCTTTTCCAAAATTCTTCAATTTTTTCTCTTTCATGGTGAAGTATCAAAAATGAATATTCTTTAGAATTTGACATTGGAGCTTCTTCAGGTCAACAATTTTTAACCTGTAGAAGGGTTGTTGTTTTTTAAAGGAAAAAAAGGAGCTTCTAGATTTTGTGATAAATCAAAGCATTTGTGGTTTTTTAGGAACTATAAGCATCTCTCTCCTTGCTTACTATCGAGATCATGCTTTTGGTAGAAACATAGTCTCATGGAGACAAAACAGGCACACATTGTTTAGGAAGTAAGTGGGGAGTTTGAAAAGCTACAAGCAAGGCTGTGTAAACTTTAAGCAATCTTTCAGACTCCCCTGAGGAAGCAAAATGCAAAGGTGAGCACCAGCACCCCTGCTACTCACCGCTGTGAATTCGCAGGTGTTCTTTCAGATGGTGTTTATACTTGAAGGCCTTGCCGCACTCTGTGCATTTGAACTTGCGATTACCTGCTCCTTGGGCCAGCATTTGGTGCTATAAAAGGAGAAAGACTGACATCAGTTTTGTGCAGGAGGAACAAAGGAAATTCGCTACAAATATTTTTAAAAGGCCTCTTTTTTTTTTTTTTTCCAGGCAGGCCAAAAGGTTTGAGTGCATGTTTATTTATTTGCCCAGTCTTTCAGAGTTGCAATAAAAGTGATAATGTTGGCAATAAAATTGGGACAAATAAAAAAAAAAGTGCTTTCACATGCGCATCCAACTACTTGCTTCAGAATTATCTCTGTAGTATCTCTTCCAAACGTTTCCCTGAGCCTTTCGAGAGGAGAAAGCCTCACTGTGAACATGTTTGTGGTTCTCCGTGTTTACGGCAGATGCTAAAATCTGAAGGTTTCCTGATGATATGCAACCAGTGTGTCAAGAAAAAAAAAAATTATCCTAAAAATTCTAAATAGTTCCCTCCCCCCAAGTAAGTCCCCTCACACTCACAACTAATTTTATCGCATTTTCTGTATCAGGGTAACAGTGTGTCTTACACTGAAGCAAAACCAAATCTGAAGAAGAAAGAAAGAAAAAAAAAACCCTCACACAAACAAAAACAACAACAACCCCTTCACTATAAACATGTCTTTACACGATAAGCATGTTTGAAGGGCTCCTTCACTGCGCTAGGAGCGAGTGTAAACCCTCTTTTTCCTGAGGTGCTGCATATCAGATCTGATTCATTATCAAATATAAGAGACAACATCGTGAGCAGTTTTATCACAGGCCAGTAGGAAAGACTTCAACGACTTTTCCTTTTCCTTTTTAGCACTGTGCTAGGGAGTAGGGACCAAAAAAAGAGAGAGAAAAAAAAAAAAAACTTTGCTGAAAAGACAAGTTAAAAGCAGCGAAGATAGAATCAAACACAGCTGACCTTTCTGAACAAGGAAATAAAAAGCACTGTGACTTCGAATTCTGAAGGGGAGAAAAAAAAAAATACAGTCATCCACTCTGGATGCTCAAGGTAGGAGGTCAGCCTTTTGCAAGCAGCAATGACACAAAAGCCTTTTGCAAAAAAGACAGCACAGAAACGGTATGACAACTGCTAGGGTGTGCTGAATCTTCCCACATTCCTAGTGAGACAGATGGTGTTACATGGGACACAGGGAGGTTTGTTCAAACAGCAGCAACCTTCAAAGATCAAGCGGAGCCCAGCCCGCCGAGCGCCATTGAGGGACCAGCGCTCATATGTTGCTGAGTTGCATAAACAAACAGCAACAGCTGCTTTGTCTCCCCCCACGGCCCTCAGAGGACTACTATAAACTTTAGTTGTGCCACTGTTAATATGATACAATCATTTTAATTTACTAATTGTAAATGCCATGAGCAAATGAGGGGACTTTTCAACACCAAAGCTACCATTCATAATGCGCCAACACAATCACACTTCTGCATGTGAAATTTAAAGCAGTTATGCTAGATAAATATCTAGGCCCTTTTCCCCACCCCCTAGCGTTTGTGTGCATATAAGAATGGGGAGGTAAACTGTTACATGAGTGTAGCTATGCAAGCATAGTTTTTGTAACTGAACTTTGAAAAACATTGAGATGACAAGCCCAATCATATATAAATGGAGTGATTTACGTGAAATGCTCTCTTAAAATAGCAAAAATCCATAATATAGTATCATCCTCATTGCTTGTGTTTGCTTACTCTCATTTTCCTTAGTCAAAGAAAATAAAGCCCATAGGAAATAAAACTTAAGAGTTCTGTAGCATATCCTGTTTAATAATTTTGAAAACAGGTCTGGTGGCCAGGTTATCCAGGGGGATTCCAGCTCTGGAGGGCCAGGTGCTGGGGGGTAGACACACCATTTCTGTTACCACCCGAATACATCATAATGTCAGTGTGCGGTCAGTCCTCCCAGGAGAGCAGAAAGAGCAGCTTTGCTAAAGCATTGAAGAGACACTGTGAATCAATCCTATCCAATCATTTTAAAGGTTTAAGAAGCTTTGCTTACCTGTCAAAGATAGAGTTTTTATTTTTAACACAAGTAAGCTAAAAGAGGCCGAGTAATTTTACCATTCATCAATAAACGTGCATATCATTAGAAGGGATCATTTTTTTAAAACGTATATCCAATATTTTAGAAGTAATCCAGTTTATGTTCAATATATGCACATATATTATATGCTTTAAAAAATTTTCTCCTTAAAACACTTAATTAGATTTCATAAACTAGTAACTACTTGTAAAAATACTCTAAGTAATTGAAGGTGTTATACAAGTGAAAGAAATACACATTTCTTTTACTCTGACTTAGAGCCTATATGAAAAAAAAAATTTCCCCCCAGTAAGACTGGGTGAAAAATGGAATTAAAATTGCTGAGATGTTTAATAATGTATAATTAAAATGCTACAATTTCATTCACTTTTTTTTTGGTGGAACATAAAAATGAAACTAAAGTCAAGTTAAAGTGCAAATAAAATTTCTAAATTAGAAATTAACACACTCATTCGATCGTGAACATAAGACTATTAAATCATATTAGAAGAGACCATCAAAAAATCATTTAGACCTCAATTAAAGCTATTACCATTAAAAGATCTGCATCTTCAAAATGCCATGAAAAATTAATAATGATTGCCAATCAAAGCAATATCGTTCCTCTAAGGGGTTATTACAGAAAAGGAATCACTTAGAAACCGGCCCCCCCACCTGATCTGTCCCTGGCTTGTGCGTCACCATATGCCGCTCGAGCTGGGTGCGGTAGGCAAACGTGTAGCTACACAGAGGGCAGGAGAAGTTCTCCTCGTTCTTCTCGTGGCGGTACTTGATGTGCTCCTTCAGGGATGTCAAGCGCTTGTAGCCCCGGTCGCAGTAGGGGCAGGTCAGCAGTTGGGCAAAAGCATCTGGAGTTCCAGGTGGCAGGTCTGTAAGCCCAGAGACGGGAGGGAGAGAAGCAGGCCAAAAGGTCAGTAAATCAATGGCAGCTAATGGGCTGGCTGCCCGGGATGGCATGACAGGAATCAGGGCAGTCTGTGCACGCCAGTGCCATCGGCGCGCCTGCCCTGGCCCCTCGCGCACCCGGGACAGACTTGTCGGAATCAGCTCACACTGCGCTGGGAAATTAATTAATTACTGGAGCTTTGGGGGGGGGGGGGGGAGAAGGAGGAGGATTTAAACAGCTGATAAATGAGGAGCTTCTCTGGAGGTGACTGACAGTACGTAGTAAACCTGGAGTCACAAATGACTCAGGAATTCACAGGGTGAAGGAGCTGGTCAGGTGCCCGTAAAAGAACAAAGGTTAGGGTCAGTCTTTCTAAACTTTGTGTGTGTGTGTGTGTGTGTGTGTGTGTGTGTGTGTGTGTATTTTCTGCCTCGAAAAAGTTAAATATTTCAGAAAGATGGGGACCCATTTAGATATTTTTATCTCGTAGAAATGGGCTCTAATTGTTCTTGTTCTTTATTGGATGTACAAATGACACAAATTTGCTGACAAAAAAAAATTTCACAATACCCTAAAATTACAGTTCTAATCTTTGCTCATGAAATTCCATGCCTCTGCAGCTGTTCCTCAAATTTTAAGGTAAACACCCAGGCATGTAGTGCATTTGTAATTGTAACAGCTGCAGAGGTCAGTGTAGTGGCTAAAAATGAATTACAGCCTCACCATTTTCTTCCTGCCCATTGGCCTCGGGCGTGCCAAGGCGAGACAGCTCCTCGGGGGCCTCTGGGTAAATGATGGCCGTGTCGCTGCGCTGAAGGTACTCCTCGATGCTGACCGCGTGCACATCGCGTTCCTCCAGTTTCCTTTTGGCAAAGTATTCCTCAAAGTCTGCTGTGCAATTTGCATTCTTAACTGAAATCATAAAAGGAGAAGACATGTCTTTTCTCCTTCCTCCTAGGAGCCCAAGTCTGCTTACATCATTGCTAGGAAGACACGGTAACTTACAAAAAGACTACAGATACCTAGTGTATTTGGAAGAAATGTTGCAGACATTTTGGGGTTACATGTTTATTCGTGTGTACAAAAAATGAGAGGACTTTGCTTTAAGTTACACAGGCATGTTTTATTTTCTTTTTCCAGGGATACTCATCCACATAACTTCACAAATGATTTCTAGGGAAATTTTTTGAAAAAGCTGAACTGCATTCTAAGATTCATAAGAGGGAGGGATAATAGGAGCTCCAAGCGACTTTAATAGCCTATATAAAACTTCCTTCTCTTTTAATAAAGGTATATTTAATTTTTTATTGTCCACTAAACTTAATGTCCCTAACCACAGCTACATCCTGTTGCTAAATATAAGCTTTTAACGCTCCACTCTGAATATCACAGACAACCAGGACTGCATACTCCCAGACAGATGCAAGGGGACAGATATTCCTAGAGAGATAATACTGGGACTTTGTTTTTTAAAAAAATCATGGAATGTGGCAGTTTATCTTTTCCTATCATTTCAATATGTAGCTCAGTATTTTAAAGCCGCTGAAAATAAAATGAAGCTCATGACTGATAGAAATACAAGGTAAGAGAGTCAGCTAAGAAAATGGCTATATGGCTGTGTGAGTTACTTTAAAATATTGTAATTATGACTATTCCCGTAAAATGAGTAATAGTTGTAAATCAATTTTAGCAACTTGTGTGACAAGACTGTGCATATTTGAAACTTCTAGGTATGTTTCTGAAACGAGTGGGGCTTAAACGTTCTAAATAAAAATTTTATGCATAAGACAGAGCTGGAAGAGTGTCTGCTCCATTATCCTCCACTACAAGGAGGTGACAAAAAGCCCTTTGCTTTGTACAATTCATGGAGGAGTTCCACTTTCACAGTTTCTGAGAGCAGTTAACCTTGAGAACACCATATTCTTCATCTTGCCTTCTCTGCCATAAAAGATATCACAGAACCCGCTATACTAATTCTCTCTGGCAATTTGTGGCAGGGTGATCTTCAAGCAAGTCAGTCCATTTTTATTTTTATTTTTGGCTTTCACTATCATGGACGTGTGAATTATAGATGAGAACAGGAAGTGGAACCTTCCATGAATTCAACAAGCATTCACTGAATGCCTGGTATGTGACACTCATCTGGTCTTGTTTGGATAAGCAAAAGACAGATCCAGTCTCATCCTTCAGAAAGCCAGGAGAGCAGTTAATACAAGTGATATTGTCTCGAAAAATGAATATGACATTACAAACTCAGATAAGTATTATGAAAGGAAGTTGCATGGTGGCATGGAAGAAGTAACAGGGGGAGTTGATGGGGTCTGGAAGGTCAGGAAAGCTTTAATTGAGAATGCCTGAAGTTTTAACTTAGAAGCTGGGGAAGAGCAGTGGTGACTGGAAGGACATGGTGCATCCCAGGTTCTGGAAGGACAGGGCTGAGTGCAGAGTGAAAGCGGGCCGTGTGATGCAAGGTGAGGGGGCAGGCAGGAACCAGACCACGCAGCCTGTGACAGCCCTGATAAGGATTGGGGTTTTATTCTAGGAGAAACAGGAAGACATTGAAGGGTATTAAGCAAGGAGGATGGTTGGGTGGAATTGTGGAGTATCTGCATTTTTACACTTGATCTTAGCCAAAAGGCTGAGAAGCGATAGTATCTGCATTTTTAAATCCAGCTAGAGTGTGTCAGGGATTGCAAAAGAGAAAGGTTAAGGAATTGGTGATAGAGACTATAAGAGAAGTGGCTAGATTTGAGAGATACTTCAGAAAGAAAATCACTAGTGTTGGGGAAGAGCCAGGTATGCCAAAGAGGCTGAGGGTGAGGTCCTCCTTTATGTTCAGGTTTTTCAAATTTGATGTATGGTAGGTGACATTCACCAAAGTAGAACCACTGAAATGCTAAAAAGACTTGAAACTGTAAGCTAATACATTGGATCAAATAAAAGAGAAGCATTACACTTTGTAGACTATTAAACTAAGTGCTAGGAATCTTAAATATAATACCATGATCTCAAAACTTTCTCTTTTGCCACTCCAACTTCTGTTAATTTTAACAAGAGCAATGGTATGATTCCAAGACCTATATGTCCTTCATATAAAGCCTTGGAACGTGCAATAGTGGATTAGTAACTTATATTTTAAAATTTGGCTTAAATGTTTTCTTAGAATCATAGAATCTTACATCTGAAATACTTTTTTTTAGAAGAATAAGCCAGATCACTGTTCCACTGGTACACTCATGATGCTGTGGATGTTTCCCAAAACATGCTTATTGGTAATGATTGTGATGGGGCCATTTAACTTGCACCATTAGGTCACTAGAAAGTATGAAACAACTGCCGACTAGCACAAACTATCTGTCCATGGTTTGGGATAATAAAAATCACTTCAGGTCTATCAAAATCTTTTGTTTTTAAGGACAAGACAAAGGGGCAAAATGGCGTAGCCAAGATGAACCTGTTTTGAACAACTTAACGGATTTGACCAATGACTGACTTCTTTTTCATCACTCTGGCAGTAGAAAGTAATGCAATAGCTTCCTTCTGAACCCTGATCTACTCAAATGTTAAATGTTCAAGACATTACAAGACCATTGTCCCATTTAAAGATCCTTATCCTAGTAGATATGATAGATGTACATTTAACATCCTAATTTTGTCTTGATATTTCAGCAACTATTTGAATTATCTGGCTATTTTTTGCATGAATTTTGATTTGCACATGAATGTTTCCATCAGAAATGTAATCAAATGCAAATTAATTTGGATTTGCATTAATAGCTTTTTTGCTTAAAAGGGAGGAAAATCCTGATTTTTCTGGATAGGCAAACTGAACTGCATCTAGATACACCACTGGTGTTTGGAGAGGCAATTCACTTGTGAGATCCAATTTGCCCATGCTAGACTTCTGTGCCAAGTGACATGGAGACAAAAAACAGGAAATTGTGTGCTTTCTTTAAGGATCGTCTTTGATTATCTTTATATTATGATTGAGGATGTTGCCTAGCAATTAGTAGGTTCTTAAAAACCATTTATGGATTACATATGGAATAAATTATGTCCTTAACACTAATCTTGATATAGAAGTCTTCTAGTCAAAGGAAGCATAAGATACCTATAGTTGAGCTAGAAACTTAGGCCTACTATTCAAACAACTGTACAACAATTATGTGATAAACTGAAGTGGTAATCATAAATATTTGTAAGAGTTCATTCGATAGGGCCTACATAAGTATTCAAGAAGAGTTTCATGAAGAAGATAGCACTCAATCATTTACTTCTATTTGCTCCATCAGGACTTTGCTTCATGTGGTATAGGTATGTTATTAGTTATACACTGAGTGGCCAGATTATTATGATCTCTGAATGCATAATAATCTGGCCATTCAGTGTATATCCTATATAATAAAAGACAAATATGTAAATCATCTCCTTGACCAAGAGTTTAACCAGCAGGCAGGCTGGCCAACTGCCCATGTCTCCTCCCCTCTGGACAGGCTGGCCAGACCCCATCCATACACAAATTCATGCACCAGCCTCTAATATATATATACTGAGTGGCCAGATTATTTTGCATTCAGAGATCCTAATACTCTGGCCCCTTAGTATATATCTCAATACCGATAATCATTTAAGTGGCTAGAGCCTAGCCTTCCATGAACTATGTATAACCATCATGGATATAATGTGGGTTTTGCCTGGTGCTGCTATGGTTTTCCTGCCACACACCACAACATTCTCCTTTGCCTGGAACAGCTCCCCATTTTCCCTGTTGCCTTATGATACCCAAGGCAGCTGTCATGTTATTGCATGATCTTGCTTCCCTAGTCATAGTGAATTAAGTTGCATGTGAAGTGGAGTAATCTGAGTCCTTCAGTCAACAGGCCACAAGGTCCAGGGGTAGCCTTCACCAATCTCTTCCCTATGATTTTAGGACTTTGTTCTAAAGAGAGCATCAAAGAAGTTTATTCTCCGCAAGTGACTACATCTCTAAGACGTACAACCAAGGAATTGATATATCCCATATAGAATAAGATTTATGAAGAGAGGGGATGATGCAGGTAAACAGAGAGAAGTAGAGACAAAGAGCAGGTCCAGACAGGGCATTCTTGGCTGTATTTGTTTATGATGTCAAGGTACCTCTTCTTCCAGGAGCTCTGTGGTCCACCTCCCTAGATTCTGTGACCCAGGACATTCCCTTTTCTAACTTTAGGCCTGAGCGTTTTAGTCTCTTAGACCCCGAAGCAGGCTAATTGCTGTAGTAGAACAATGATGAGATTACATTTTGGTTATTCTCAAAATTGTTGAGAGAGATGAAGTTTTGATTCAATTTGAAGTTTGCAGTTTTGGTTTCTGTAAAGATTTTGGAATACTGTATAGTGGACACAGGAATGAGGTAGAAAACTGGCTAGAAAATTATAGAATTCCCCACTGCATTTTTCTAGTCTAAAATCAACCTTTTTTTTTTTTTTGGTAATCCTCTTCACCCCTTGGTCTCCTAGGAAGAACTGCCAAAACACACTGACAAAGGATATTTGCATGGTATTTATGATCAAACCATAATGAAATTCGCAAGAAGCCTCAAGTAATTTCTTCCCATACCTTCTCCAGAGATTTTGTATTTAGTCCTAAAATTTACCCTTCTGTCTTGCAAATATCTCAACCTTCCTGAAGGTCAAGTAAACCTTCTCTGCCTAAAAAAGGAATTTCATTAATTAAAAATGTTTCCTCATAGCCACATGTATTTTATTATTGTTAGGTTAAATTTCTAGTTCCTTACAAGTGAAAAAGCCTCAAATTTCTTATAAATATGACTCTTTCTCTGACTAATGTTGCTTATCAATAATACTTTCATAAATGCCTTTATGTTTAGCTTATGATAAAGATTGATATTTTTATTTTTTAAAATTACTTTT